CATTCAGCCTCCACAAGAGAAGGCTGAGGGGGGATCTAGTGGCCTGTTACAAACTAGTCAGAGGGGACCAGTAGTCACTGGGGAAGTCCCTGTTCCCCCGAGCACTACCAGGAGTGACCAGGAATAACGGTCACAAGCTGGCAGAGGGTAGATTTAGGCTAGATATCGGGAAGTGCTACTTCACTGTCAGGGCTGCTAGGATCTGGAACCACCTTCCAAGAGAAGTGGTGCTGGCTCCTACCCTGGGGGTCTTTAAGAGGAGGCTAGATGTACACCTTGCTGGGGTTGTTTGACCCCAGTACTCTTTCCTGCCATGGCAGGGGGTCAGACTCAATGATCTGCTTAGGTCCCTTCCAACCCTAGAAACTATGAAACTATGAGACATAAGACAAATGTGAGGACAGTTGCATAAAAAGGAGTAAGTTTTATAGAGCTAGCTTGTGAAAGCATTTCACATGTGGTTCACATGTGATCATACCATTCTAGTTAAGTGGCTTAACAAAACTTATGTTTTATATAAAAACTATCAGACAAAAAAACTGAGAATGTGACATCTCTGCTTCAGTGAAAATTGATTCCAGATAATGACAGATACCACAGAGATAGACAGTCTATTTTTCTCTCAAATTACTAACAATGCTAACAGGAGATGCATACTGAAACACATACATTCATTATGCCATTAAAGCCTGACGCACAGCTGTCTACTTAAGTTCACTTTGGTTTTACATGCACTACTTCATCCAGCAACATTTTCCATAATTACAATGGGCTATCCTGCTGGAGCTGATAATGAGCTCCAAACCAAAAAACACAACCCAAAAAAACCTGTATTAATGTACAGTAAAACAACAACTCATATCATCACATTGTTTCACTCTGAAAAATCAGAATGGAGTAATGGCACGTTCTCATTATCCAGAGAACATTTTTTGGTGCAGCCAGAGTAATAGCTGTGACCAAAACAAGGATTTTTGTGTATTTAGATTCCAGCATGTGTTTTTTACTGTTTGTACGTCTCTAAGCCAACAAGCTAAGGTTGAGTTCCAAGCTGAATTTTATCTTGTGCCTCTAAAGCATTACTTTACTTTGTGTTTAAGTAAAAGAATGTTCAATCATTTTGATTTCAATGGGTTTTCACCTCTGTGATGAAACTCACTGCAAAATCTGAAAACAAAAGGAGTACATGGGTATAGTTTCGAGCCCAATTTGACCTTCAGGACCTTGATTGCTGGCGACAGTGCATGAGCTGGAAATAATCCAGTTTAACTTTAAGAGTCCAAACTGAGTTTTTTCGGATGACAGAGAAAAATATTCCCAACTTCTTGACCGAGTATATTTGCCAAGACTGTAACCGAGACACAATAAGCATTAGAAGCATGCAGTGCTAGTCTTACATGGCTATTTTGCAAAGCAGAACTGCGTTAAGACCCTGATTCAGTAAAACTAAAGGGAGTGTAAGCCGTTCCCTGACCACTATATCTGTTCCGAAGCTTTAAATTAAGCCCATCTTTAAGTCATCTACTAGATCAGGACTTTACCGAGTCAAAACATCTATGCTTCATGATTGAATATTCCTCTGAGTTTCCCCAGATGTTTTGGCTTATTAAGAGCATCAGATTTTATCTTTGGTTCAACACCTGGCATGGTACTGATGCTTAAAAAATAGCAAATAATAAATGATAATAGTAGACCACTTTTATCCAAGGAACTGTAGATACTTGAAAAACCTTGGCTAAAAATATAACCTATTTGGCAGGTAGCTAACTTTCAACAGGACACAGTAGTGAAAGGCACAACCCTACACTACTGAAAACCAAAGGTCAAGAGTTGTATGGTTTTACTTGAGCAACCTCCTAAGTTTGCCATTCTGGGTTTCATTCCTGAGATATTTGTGACTTTTTTATAATGTGTGTTTACATATACATCTTAGAAGATATTTTGTACTGTATTTCTAAGTGACACATTTATGAATAAAGGCTGCAAAATAATTATTTTGTTTTCAATAGGTTTGATCAACAAAAAGTTGATCTCTTGAATACACAAGTTTCCCTCATTTTATGCGGGTTCTGTATGTGCAAATTTGCTCTTATGCGATGACCAAAAATTTGTTATATCAAAGGAAAATTCACTCTTATGTGCTCAGTGTGGTGGAAGCCCACAGTCAGCTGCTTAGGGCAATGCATTGTGGGAGTGACACACACGAAAATATAGTCTCCTGTGTGGATCTGTGCTCCTCGCTTGTTGTCTGTGACACGTGTTTTTGTAGTTGCTATACCCATTATGATAATGTCCTGTGCTTGCGTGTACTGTCTGCTGTTGGTGAGTACCAAAATTGTCTTGTAAAAATGGTAGAAATGGGTCTTGGGGTCTGTACCATTGAGGTTTTGGAATGTATCCCTATTTGTTACATAGTAAAGTGGGTTCCCTTTATGTGAATTTGAGTTATGTGCCATTTTCCAGGAACACATGTACAGCATAAAGTAAGGGAAACCTGCACAAGAATCTTCTGCTGGGACAGCAGGTGTACTGCTGCATAGTCATTTCCTACAACACTCATTTTCACATTGACAATACCAATTTAAAATATGATGAAATTCAGACGCA